GGACGACTTAGTTTAAAGTCGTCTGGGCAGACGACTTGCGAGGGCTAAAAACGTCAAAAAAAAACTCTTTTTTTGTTTGTTCACAAGGGGTTGGTTGTAATTTCAACAGCCTTTTAAGTTACTTTTGCATTTGATTCAAGTTTGGGTTTACTTTTGCATTTCAAATCAAGTTTTGAGTCATATTTGGCAATTTTCCCATTGACATAAGACTACAATAGTAATTAAAAATTGCTATAGTAACATTAAAAATACAGCTATAGTTAAAAAGTTATAATATCATTTTCGTGACGCTATAATAAAAGATTACAATTGCATAACATAAATCGCTATTACTAACTAAATATCAATAGCATATAACAAAACTGCTATGCAATGTACCAAACCAATTATTGCGGGCGATAATAGAATAATTTTTACAATGTTATGGTAACGTATGATAGCTCTTTAGAGCACCATTATCCCATGTTTTTGGTGGGTTGCTTAGCCACTTTTTGTGTGTGGACCCCACCAAAAACACAAACAACCAACTCCTATTTTGCTTAAATAAGCAACTGATTTGGGGTGTTGCTTGCACTGTTTGCGGGTTCCACTGATACGTGGTAACCCGCGATTGGTTCTTTTTTATTTTAATTTTAATTTTAATTTTTTCAAAAAATAAAAATAAACAACCTAATTTTGGGTTGCTGGGATAATGATGCTCTTACTAGGTGTTATTAAAACTCTTATTTTCTTTAGTGCCTTTCTGGTCGCCTTTTTTGTAGCCTTTCATTTTTTTCCACGAATCCGTAGATTTTTCAAAACTTAAGAGCACCTCCATCGGGGGTGACTCTACCCATCCTAAACCCAAAAATAAATAAAAAGTAATTGAAAAAGCCCATTTTCTATCAGTACCGCTCCTGAATCTGGGCTTTCTAGTTTCACTAAGTCACCCTAACGTGGCGTGTTCTCATTCGACCCCAACCAATATCTCTCTCTCCTTCGTGACGATCAACCGAGAGACATGCATTCTCGTCTTCTCCGCCTTCTTCTCTCTCGAATCTCGGCGATTCTGTTTCCTATTCGACCCCTTTTGAATGTCTATCTCTTCCGTTGAAACCAATTCTGTTCTCTTCTTCCTCCTTCTTTGATCTCACCATCTTCTGTGATGATTCTATGGTGATTTCTCCATGATGAAACTTAGGCGAATCCTCGGTCATCTTCTTCTTTTCACTTTCCAAGGATGAAACTCTCTTCGTCCTCTCGTTGCCCTTTGGACAGATCTTCACTGCACGGTTCTCTTCTCACTGTTGGATTCGATCATGGATTTGGATAGAGTCAAAACCAAATTTCCGGAGGAACTCACTTCGATCTGGTAGGATGTAATTTCACCCCTTCATGCTCTAAAGATTCTGCCTTTGATGTCTTTCAAATTTACTGATGGTTTCATTTTGGCAGTATGTCTATGAAAGCTTCTCAAATTTGCTGTTGGTTTTATATGTTCGGTTTCTGTCTGAGTTTGCTTTCTGTCCGAGTCTGTAATATTGTGATCTCTCTTTATTAAAGTATGTCCTTGCTTTTGCAGAGTACATGTGTAAGAAGACTCGTCAAAATAACATGAGTTTGCTACTTTGCTTTATGTCTGAGATCACTTTGTATGTCTCGTGTTGTTCACTGCTTTGATTCAGGTTACACACTTGTTCTCTTGAGTGGCTGTGTTGTTTCTTTGTTTTGTATTTTAAAGAGAAGTTTCAGCAGCTGCAAAAGGTGATATCGATTTTAGGTGATATCGATTTCTCTGAAATTCACATTGCACATATGTATAAGTATTACTGTAAGATAATTTTTTTACAAAACTTGTTTTTTCTTATCTCATTAAGATCTTTAGGGTGATGTGGTTGACAACTTCAGGGACTTCTTCAAGGCAATGTACAAGAAGGTAATAAGCACCAAACATAGTTTGATAAATGAGTTTTCATGCAAGTTGTTTCAGTTCTCATCAGTTATCCCACGTTTCTCATCAATTTTTGCAGGTGGAGTCAAGAGTTTCCTTCAGGTAAAAAAAAGAACTATATATTTATCATTTGTGAACAGATACAAGAATGTATTTAATATTTTGTTCCTATTTTCTTGTGAGCATGATTCTGATGAATTACTTTCCATGTTGTTGGGGTTTCAAACAGGTGAATCTCCTTCCTTTGTTTCTGATACAAACAAAACATTGGCAGCAGAGAAGGTTGCCTTGTCCAACACTGTGAGGTCATCTCCTAGAGCAACCGGAAATCATGTTCTCTCTTCAGGAATCAGATCTTCTCTTTCACAGCTTTTGGCATTTGTAAGTTCAGTTGCTTTTAGTTTTACACAACCATTTTGTTTTGGTTTTTCTTTTAAATTCCAATTGTTGTTGTTGTGTATGAAATAGGTTTGTACTTATTACAGTTTTGGACGTTTGCTCGTGTTGTTGTTGTTGTTGCGTTTGAAACAGGTTTGTGCTCATCACCGACATTGTTGACGTCTGCTTGTGCTCCCCCACCGTCCACGTCGAAGCTCCAAGCCATGGGCAATCACCGTCCACTTCGTCGTCGTCTCGTGTGTCATTGTTCTTTGCATCTACATGAACATTTTATTAATTTTTTTATGTAAGTCTTTATTCTAAAATTATTGTATTTTAAAACGAAAATTGTTTAAGTACCCCATAGGGATACTCCCATTGGAGGAGTAAAAATAATTTCTACTAATCTAGATCCTTAACTTCACAAATCACATTATTTTCTTTTAAATTAATCATAAGTACCCCATGTTTAAGAACCATGGATGGAGATGGTCTAAGATTTCCTCTATAGTTAATTAAAGCCTTCTTGATGTTGTCAAATCACGTACGTAGACAATGAAAAATGGAAAGACGAAAATGAAAAACACTTTTATTCCAACCAATACTCATACATCTTGGCCAATCATAAACTGAAATATAGAATAGAAACATTGAAACAATCCGGTCTTTCCAAATATAACTCAAAGCTCATCTCTCTTGATCTTGGAAGGAGGAGTCCCTTCACTTAGGAATTCTTTATAATACTTTCCAGATTCTTTCTCATGACGTGTGAGGTTATTTTTGAAATCAATGTAATAGAGTCCAAATCTGTTCTTGTAACCATCTTGCCACTCGAAGTTATCCAACAGTGACCATACAAAATATCCTGTAACATTTACTTTGTCGATGCTGCATATTTGATATAAAATTTGTTATTTAATATTCAATATGATTTCTTCTCAATCATATAAAAGAGAAATAGTAATTACCAAATAGCTTCGTGCATACTCAAAAGATGCCTCTGGAGATAGTATTTTCTATTATGATCAGCAGTACCATTTTTAACCGAATCTGTGGCCCCAAGCTCTTCTCCATATCCTAAAATAAAATATCAAGATCAATATATTTGATCTTCGTATCTATAACAAAATCAATTAAAATTTTGATAAATAATACTAAAATATATAGTTACCATTTTCCATGATCATAATTTCTGGGTTTGCGTACTTATCCTTGATGTATTTCAAAAGACTTCTAAAGCCTCTCGAGTAAACGTTCAATGCAGCGGTAAAAGGCTGAAAACAAACGTGAAGATGTTATGTCATAGATAAAAATTATTATTTATCCTTTTTCAATAACAGCATGCTTGCAGGTTGAAACCGGAAAATGACAGAGTGGTGGCTAATACAAGCCACAAATTAAACTACATGTCCTGGATAATCAGTAGCGGCTCTGGGCATAAGCCATGGAAGCATCAGCTTCCGGTTATTTTTTTCGGTCCAGTAATATCAAATTTTCTTGTAGTTCAGTTGGTTAAAGCTTGTAGTGATTGTTTCTAAGATTTTAGGTTCAAATCCTCGCAGTCTCAGGGTCGGGCCTGTGACTAATATTAATGAAGTTTTATAGTCTAACCATTACTCTAGTTAAATGCATACCTTGCTACCGATGCTGTAGTTTTGTGCATTCTTAGCTGCAAAAGATAGATTTGATTATTCGAACCAAAAAAATGAGAAGAAACCCTTTCCTCTTTAGCAAAAAAAAAAAAAAAGAAGAAGAAACCCTTTCCTTTGATCTGTTCATATCTATTTTCTTGTTTCAAGAGAAAAGATACTTACATTCCCATGATATAAGAGAATCTTGCATCCATCTGGGTTTAGAATAATCGGGTTTCTCTAGATGATTTGAAAACACCGACGTGTAGTAGTTGAGCCCTACGAAATCAGTAGAGTCTTTCAATTTTGCTTTTTGAGCATCAGTAAATTTAGGCAACCTATGTCCAACAATGTCTTTCATTTTCTGTGGATAATCTCCATACGTAGTAGTATCCAGATGCCTACAAATAATAACAATAATATAATCAAATTCCATTAACCAAAATTATGTCTATACAAGTACCTTTTCAAGAGATGTATTGCAAATATTTTAAACTACTTACCATCCCATCATAAAGTCAAGTGCACGGTCAATGGACCCACCATCTTGTGAATCATCAAAGTCATGTGGTTCGAACCAAGCCGGACTGTGTGCGATTCCGACCTTCCCACCTTTACACTGTGGCCATAAACATTACACAGATCAAACTAATTAATTGTGAAGATGAAATTATACTAAAACACGTTTGAAATTAGTCTCTATGATTTATACATATTTACCTTTTCACATTTTCGGAAAGCTTCAACGGCTTCAGCGTGAGAATTAAGGAGGTTATGACTGACGAGGTAAGCCTCATAGCCTGATCGTCCATCTTGGCACTTAGGATTGACGTAAGTAGAGCAACGTCCGGGTGCTTTCTTGCCTACATCATAACCGGCATGAGCAAAAACCCATGGCTCGTTGAATGTGATCCAGTGTTTCACTTTTCCACCGTATTCTTGGAAAACAAAATCTGCATACTCCCGGAAATCCTTTCTGCATTATTGGAGTTAGTCAGGTTGTATATAAACAAACTTTGGTGTCATTTTACTAGAATCTTACACAATCTTATCGCTTAAAAAGCCTCCGTATTCATCTTCTAGATCTTGTGGAGTGTCCCAGTGAAAAACAGTCACGAACGGAATTATACCTATTTTCAAGTTTAAACGAAAAAGTTTGTTTAGTGAATAGGAGTGTAATTTATTTATTTTTGTTTTGTTAACTCAATTCTACTTAAGAAACAAGAATATAACCATTTCTTAAAAGCTCGTCGATGAGGTCGTGGTAGAATTGCACACCAGCTTGGCTCACTCCTTTCTCCTTTCTCCCATCTGAAACGTTACTTTATTTTATTTGTATTTTAAACAATCATATACATATACATGTAAATACATAAAACTCAGCCTGAACTTAGTGATACAAATAAGATATATATATATATGTGTGTGTGTGTGTATAAGCAGAAACAATAGACTCACGAGGGAATATTCTTGGCCACGCGATAGAGAGCCTGAAGGCGTCTGTGTTTAGATTCTTCATCAGTTGAATATCTTCCTGCAAATGTTTTACCAGAGAGAATTTTTTTTCAACATCTACCATTATGATAATGATATAGTAATCAATAGAACTATAGGGATATACGTGGTAAATAAAATCTCATTCTATATTAGCAAACATTACCTTATAACGATGGAAGAAATCAACGGCCACATCACCGTTATCGTTATTGCATCTCTCTATTAGTTTAAATACAAAATAAGTTATTAGCCCGAAAAAATAATCAAACCAAAAAAAAAATCGAAATATACAGTTAGAGATAGAAGAAAAGTAAATTGACTAACCTGGATATCTCTTACAGTAGATATCCCATAAGGCTGGTCCACGACAAGTTTCATTCACTGCACCTTCAACCTAATTAGTGACATAACCAAAGAGAGATTTGATTGGCTTAGCAAATGATATAATATAAAACTAAGATAAGACATGCGTCTTGCGCAAAATGAATATATGTAATTAAAATATAAGATTTTAATATTCACAAATTTAATATTTACATATGATTGTTTTTATATGTATTTGAAATTTTAGATTTTTTATATAATTATATATACGTAGGATCAAAAACAATTGTAATTAAAACTATAGATCAAAAGTTATAATCTAATGGGTCTGGTTCATATATCTTTTCAGTTTTCAGTGTTCGAGAGATGAAAAATAAATAGAGTGTTACATGGCTTAATTGGTAGAACATTATCAAGTTCCCTAATGTTTTCTTAAAGGCAGTTGGTAGAATATTTGCATTTAAAATATATAAATTTCTAAAAATAATTTAATATAATTTATTTATTTGTCTAATAATATCACAAAATAATATTTTGAAAATTTAAGTTTTGAAAAAAGAATTTTTATAAAAAATTAAGTTAAATTTAAATTATAATTATGTTTAAAATAAAATTATAATTATGTTTAAAATAAAATTATTTATTATGATATGATATATATATATATATTAAAACATAACACCTGTTAAAATAAAATTATTTATTTATATGATTTATAATCATTCTAACTTATTATAGAAAAAAAATTAGACCTTAATCTCAAAAGTTTATGTGAGATCTTTAACAGTTTCAGTAATTTATACTCGTTTTGAAAATTTCAAAATACAACATATATAAAAAAAATCTAAATTTTTATTATATGATTAGTGTAGTTGTGTAACTTATTTTAATAATAAAAAATTAAACAAAAATGATTTAAAATATACAGATTGTTAACATATCTTTATTAATTTAAATCATAAATAATCATATATATCTTAATTACATTAGGTAATTCCGTAGGTTTTATTAAGGAAATAATATATATGAGATTTAGTTTTATATGATATTTAGTTTGATATGTCTTATATGAGACCAACAGACTTTGTTTTAAAGCTATGCTATATATATGATGTGCTTTAGAATTCTTCTAAGTAGAATGTCATAGAGAACTGTCCAATAGGATATGATTTTTTTTATTAGTACAAACTTAAGGTTATAACTTTTAAAATGGTTCTCATTTAATATATAACTTTTAAAATAGTTCTCAATTAATATATAGGGGATTTGGTGTGTGCATTTAAATTAAACGATTATTCTTATTTATTAACAATCATTTATGGTAAATAAATCAACGCAATCAATTTTATCCGTCATATATTATTTACAATTAAATTTAAATGACATTAACAATATCTATAATATATTTTAAATATGAATGTTTTGGTAAATGAATTTCTCATTATAAGATTTTATGATTATCAATATATTTTTATAACAAAATTTTGAACTATTAAAAATTAAATACAAATTTTATAATAAAAATATTAAATTCTCAGTATTTTCAATGAAAATATCAAAATATAAGTATGTATTTTATATGGTATGTAATTTAATTTAAAATATATATATGTATTAATATAAACATATTAAATAAGACGTCTTATTTATGTATTTTATAATTATTTTTATCTTATTATAATAAAAATTTAAACCATTGATCACAAGAAGTTTATTTGAGATATTTAACAATTTAGTAATTTATACCCGTTTTAAAAAATTCAAAATACAATATATACGAAATATATAAATTTTTATTATATAAATAATGTAATTGTGTAAATTATTTTAATAACACATATTTAAACAAAAATGGTAGAGGGTATAAAAATTGTTAGCAAATTATTATTACTGATATTATTAATTGTCATATATCTTTTAATCACATTAGGTAATTTCATAGCTTTTATTTAAGGAATTAATGAATAATAAATTTTTAATATTAATAAAATATGTTACCAACATCTTTTTAGTAAATATGTGTTTAAACTATGGTATATGTAAGGTGTTCTAAAATTGTGTTAAATAGAATTTAGAAGACAAAGAGATATGCCACATATGATTAGAGTTATTTTTAATTAATACAAACTTAAGATTACAACTTTTTAAATGATTCTCAAATAATATAATATATAGAGGATGTCAAACACCATTACTTTCATATAGAATACTGTTGTTCAGTATAAGTAGTGTTCGATTCTACAAGTTTTGCGAAAGACATTGTTTTCAAAATGATACTATATGAGTTCATTGGTGACCTACGCTCTAGTATCAAGATTTAATTATCAAATATCCTATTATTTTGTATGGAATCTGTCAATAAATATTTATGTAAACATGACATGAGAACAAAAAAGAGTTGATCTGCTTGGCAAATGATATAAAATATGAAACACCATTATTAACACGTAGGATCTATTGTATGCTGCCTATAGTGTTATATATATTCTTTAACTTGTGTGAAACACGGTTTCGAAAATGAAAACATGAGTTTGTGACCTACATTTAATATCTAAATGATAACATATGATCTACTATGAAAAATGTCAAAAAATATTATGGAAACATATACCTGGTATGCCGCAGTAGCCGTGCCAAATAAAAAACCTTCAGGGAAACTTGCCCGGCTTAGTTTGGTCGATGACGGGCAAACAGGTCCATCCGCGGTTGCCGGAGAGACTATGATGGTTAGGAGCAAAAGCAGCCCCATGAGAGGAAACTTTGTTAAAGCCATCTTGCTTTTAGTTGTTTGTATTTTCTTCAACATAAGAGAAGTTTAGGATGGTTCTTTCACATTTAAGTGGCGTTCTTTTTATAGCGGTTTTGATTCACTGACTGATCTTTGATTCCACTTTAATATGCAACAAGGCCTCGTGCTTGATCATTTTTAATATCTGATGTCGAGTTTTCCGATCAATCTTTAACTACCACATGCATGTATATTGACGTTACGCCAATTGTTTTTTCTTTTTTTGTGTTTCATTTTATCAAACTATCATACTTAACTGCAGTGCGATTATTTATATATTATATAGGATGCTTCATTGGCAAGAACTACCTATATCTCTATCTTAATATTTGTATTTTGAAATACAGAGCATATGATATTCCGCGTGTCCCACGAGCAAAGTATTTTAACTGATGACTTTTGACAAATCCTACGGCAAGTCCAAAATATTGAAGCGTCCAGCTATTGCACTACAAAATTTTCCTTTTCTAATTTAAAACAATCCCGGAAGACCAATTAAAGTTGAGCTCATATGGAAAATGGTTGCAACTACTTCTATGAAGGCCGATGTTTTTACTAAGTAACTTTTTGGTGATCAGAGATATCATTTACGTTTAGTCCTTTGATTTATAAGATCTCATAAAATTAAGAGATATTATATATTGTTGTATCAAATTACATGTTTTTAACTATTGTCAACAGATGCGTATCAAACACAAATAAAGCACAATACTTAGATAGAATATTCGCTTGGTTTGTATAATGCTTACGCTAATGAATATTATAACCTAGGTTGCATGGAAGCTTCGTCATACGTCTGTTTCCCGCTTCGGAACCGGAATCGAAACGGAAGCTTGTGGAAGCTTTCGGAATCTCGATTCCATTGCGCTTCCAAAAAAAACATTTTTAAAAATACATTGGAAGCTTACGCTTCCATTTTAGAATCACGCTTCCGTTTTAAAAGATTCAATGTCATAAATATATAAAAATATAAGAAACATTATTTTTGTTTTTATATAATAGTGAAATAGAGAATAAAAATATAAAAATATTTAAACTAATATGATAAATTATCTTTATGCATTGAGGATTTATTAAAGATATATCATATATATTCAAATAGATTGTATTAATTATTTATGAAATATCTAAAAAATAATTACTATAATAATATCTTATAAACTTGATTTATGTATATTTTCACGGTTTTAACATAAAATCATTTAAAATTATTATAAATGAATAAATGTTTTATTTTAAATTTGACTCTAATAATTTCTAGTCATATTTTTAATTTTTTATATTTTAATATATGTATATATATACATATATAAAATACGCTTCCAACACGTTTCCGCTTCCTAATTTTTTTAAAAATCTCGCTTCTACGCTTCCATACGATTCCGCTTCCGCGTATCCGCTTCTGTTTCCATGTAACATAGATTATAACCTACTATACTCGTATTTATACAGCTCAGAATTTGATATTTGTTTTCCGTTTGAAAAACTTTCTTACCTACCAAAGACAATTTTTTTTTTATCGTAACAGATATACATGCCATGGAGATTCCGGTCCGAGCCACCAGATGTCAATCTATATTTAATAACAAATTATGATAAGACCTGCGTCTTGTGCATGGTGAATGTATGTAATTAAAATATAAAATTTTAGTATTGACAAATTTAAAATTTACATATGATTTTTTTATATGTATTTAAAATTTTAGAATTTTTATTTAATTCTCTATACTTAGGATCATAAACAATTTTACTTAGAACAGTAGATCAAAGCTTAGTATTTAAAGTACCCGATTTGATATATCTTTTCGCTTTTCATTGTTTGAGTGATGGAAAATAAAGGGAGTATCACTGGGCTTGAATGGTAGAGCATTAACAAGTTTCCTAATGCTTTCATAAGAAGCAGTTGGTAAAATATTTGTATTTAAAATATATAAAGTTTCAAAATAATTTAATATAATTTATTTATTTTTCTAATAATATTTATTAGAAAATTATATTTTTTACAAATTATATTTTTTAAACAAAAAATAATTTTATAAAAAAATAAGTTAAATTTATGTTATTTTAAAAAATCATATTTTAAGTTTTTCAAATACAAATAAACAATTTAAAATTAATTATGGTCATGATTTAACATAACCATAATGATTTAAAACATTTAAAAATTAACAAATTAAAAATTAACTCAGTTTTATATTATGATTTAACAATTTAAAATTAATTATGGCTATGAGAAGTTTGTGAACGTGTCAATCCTATTTATCTTCAATTTTTTCTCTTGTTGTGTGTTTTTTTTATTTTGGTTATTCCTCGATATAAATATTTATTTTGAAGTTTATTCTCATTTCGATTGTTTGTTTTGATCTGGGATTTAGAAAATACTTAAAATTTAAAATAATTAAAAAGATACATACTTAGGTTAAGATCTGCACTTTATGCACAATAAGTATTTTATATTTTATATTTATCTTATATTTTTCTGCATATTACAAAATAATAAAATAATAAATATATATATTAAATAACTAAGAAATCATCTACTATTATGTAATAAATTGACGTATGTATATAGTCTCCAGGAAAAAAAATTATTTTAACCGATTTTGATCCATAAAAATAAATAAATTGATTAAAAATTATATTTTAACCAGTTTTTTTTTTATTTCTGGTTTTGATCAAATATATGTTTTTAAAAGTATTAGTATTTGTGATATGATTCATTTTTACAAATCTTGCATATTAGTATTTTTTTTCTTCGTAGAGTTACATATATCTAAATTGTTTGGTCGAAAATATAAGGATGACGAATCAAATCAAAATTTACGGATATTTTACCCAGCCCCATACATGTGCATATTGACTGAGCACTTATATAACTAAATATTCACTAAAAGTGAGGATTTTAATTCTCTAGGAAGCTGAAATATTTTTTTTTAAATGTTTCAATTCACTATCAACGAAATTGTAATGAAATGATTTATCGTAATAATTTATTTTTCTTTTTCTTTAATTATTATCTAGTTTTGATTTAATTTTTATGTCTTTAGAAATTATAATATGAAACTATTGGCTTGACATTAAGACTGTCTAAAACTCATATAACATAAAACGAAACAAATAATAATAGTTTTTGATTATCATTAAAAAATCTAAAAACCTCAAGCATTTATAATGACTAAATAGAATACATATTGATTGAGGATAGTAATTATATTATAATAGATTAAAAACCAAAACAAATGACCTAACACGGAACCGATATCCAAATTAAACAAACATCATATTTTTTATCTTAAGAAATAATAAAATTAATAATCTCATTCCATGTAAGGCACGTGTTATTACCAAGTGAAACTATTAATTTCTGAACGATGCACTTTTTCACACACCTTTTTTAATTTATGAATAAAATACTCTCTCATATGTCTCCTTAATTTTCGAAACAAAGTACCTTTCACATACCTTTTTAATTTCTAAATGATACACTCTTTAATTTGATTAATAAATTGAATTGTTTTAGTTATGAAAATCATATGGTTAAGTTTATTTTAGTTATCCAATCTAATTGAAATGTGTTATCCGAATCTGCAAAGATCCAAACTCACAATGACCCGAATCAAACCCAAACCAAAACTTATAAATATTTGAACGGGGTTGAAATCTTTAAACCCGAAAACCGAATAAAATATAATAATATAGGGTTGGAGCCAGTGTTAAGGGATTTTTTTTTTGCTTTCAATTTGGTAAAGATCGATAAAAGTATGAGTTCATCAAATTAAAAATGCAAAAGGTGTTTTCATTTTTTTTGAACCAACACTTCTCTAAATACATATTCTTTTGGAAATTGCATCTTGTCAGAGATGTATGTATTCTTCGCCACTTCCGCACTTCTCCTTCATCATCCTTGTTCGCCCCTTCCACATTTCTTACTGGAATTATATAAGTTCCTAAGTGTCTAGAGTGTGACACATTTCTTACTGGAATTATATAAGTTCCTAAGTGTCTAGAGTGTGACACATTTCTTACATATTATAATCGAACATATATAATACCAAATAGCTCTTAAGATCTCTTCAATAAAGTTATTGATTGCTTTAGAAAATATTAATAACCTTACGATACACCAAAGAGACGCAAACATGTCGTAACAGATATATACGAAATGTTGTGTCAAAAGGGGTGTGAATATATCGTTACCAAAAAAGTGTACACGTGTTGTAACCTTAGAGGTGCAAATATATTTTGACCAAATAAATGTAAACGATCGTCATCAAAGGAGTGTGAATATGTCATCACCGAAAGAGTACGAATAGGTCATTATCAAAGAGGTGCAAATGATTCATCACTCAAAGGGTGCGAATGACTCATCACCTAATGGATGCGAACATGTTGTGACCAAATAGGTGTGAATGGATGATATTACGTGTGAACGCACACCAATTAACCTAATGTGCACACTACCACAATCGAATGGTATGTCGATGTAGCACTTAAGGATCGAATCCACAGAGACCAAAATCTACACTTTATTTCTGTAGGATCAAATTCAAGTTAAAACAATTAAGTATTGTGAAAAACAAATCCTAAGTAAAAAGTAATAATTGGATTTAAAAATCAGGATATAAGGATGCTAACCTAGGGTATCCCATTGGGTGTTGACCATACTGAACCAAACAATTATTCAAGCTTTTTAAGAACAGCCTAGAACTTAGGTTTCTAACTAGAGCACCTTGCTCGCAGCAGGCGTGCTTCTTTCGCGGAAGAGCAATAACATACTATGCTCTCGCGTGTATCACGGCTCAACAGCAAATAGTAAGCACATACCTAAAAACGCTCACATCACACCCTGATATCTACTTTCGCTGATCAGGGATGTGATGCTTACTCTCAACAGATCTAGCAATCTAATTCAGGACTAATGATAAAAGATTAAACTTGGAATCAAATACTAAATGATCAGATTAATATAGGCATTAAGACCAGAC